CCCTTGAGCCTACTGCAGATGGTCTCTGTCCGGTCTGATCCAACCTTCTTTTCGCAGCTGCTAAGCGCATACGAAGGGCCGCATGTGGATATGCTATCTACATTACATTACACGTTAGCTGGAGGTGGAAAACACCTCAGCTATTGTGCCGCAATACAAAGACAAGAAAAGAAAATCAGTGGCAAACAGAAGCACGCCCGCTGAGTCCCCGGTAACGGATGGACATCGTACCGGAGAGCTAACAGCTGGCTGCCGTAAAAGAAACTCGTATTATGTCTATCAAGTGAGATCGTGATTGGAGGGGGATGCTAAACAGGAGGGGGATGGAAAAGGAAATCACAACACAAACGCCATTAATGCCGGCTCCGAGCCATATCAGCAAGTGTGTACAACCAAACGTGTTCACCGTCCTTAGGACCCCAACCTGGCAGTCGGGATGCACCAACCGACGCCAAATTCGACGTGAGGGTTTTCATTTCTCTCTACCAAATCATCGCTTGGCCTCCTCTCCTCCTCTTCCAACCGCACCCACAACGCGCAAATAATGCGCGTCGCGGGAGTCGGTGTGCTACCATGCGCAACACGTGGCCCAGCCATCGGAACCTGGTGCGTGAAATAACTAAACTGAGCGGTTCACTGGCTCTACCTACACCAAATACGCGACGCCGAACACGCTCATTGCTCACGCGGTGTTCCCACCAGACATGAGCTAAGCTGCGAAGGCAGCCATGATCGAGTGTGACAAGCCTCTTCATGTCTATCGACCTGATGGGCCAGGTTTCACAGCCGTATAGGAAAGTTGAACGGACGGCTGCGTTATAAACTCTGCCCTTCAGGGCAAGAGTAATGTCACGTCTCCGTTACAAGTGGCGGAGATTGGCAAAAGCACCTCGAGCTTTTGCTGCACGGTTCGTAACCTCATCTTCAATCCCACGGGCGCTAATATAGCTGCCCAGGTACTTGAATTCATGAACGACTTCTAGCTAATCACCACCAAGGGTCAGCGCAGGGATGGGTCCCTGCCAATCTTGGAGAAGTACTTTGCATTTCGATGGAGCAAACCATAGCCCAAAAACGATAGACAGCCAGTGCTAATCGGTCCAGTGCTGCTTGACATGTTTGGGAGCTGTCACAGATTAGGGCAATATCGTCCGCGTACTCTAAGTCAAGAAGTCGCTCATCAGGAAGTAGCTCCACACCTAGGTCGTGTCAAGCGAACGCTGTTTCCATGACTTCATCAATAGCGAAGTTGGAGAGGAAAGGTGACAACGGGCATCCTTGTCTCACACCGCTGGTAATACTGATGGGTGGCGACAGTTTGCCATAAACCCTCACCCTGCCCGAACTATGCGCGTACGGCTCTTTGATAATGTTTACATATTTACCAGGCACACCTTTCCTCAGCAGACAGTCCCAAAGGGCACATCGATCGACTGAGTCGAAGGCACCTTTTATGTCAAGAAACACGACAACGGTGGGTCGCCAATAAACATGGCGGTGCTCCAACACTTGACGCAATGTGAAGATGTGGTCGATGCAGCCCCGACCTCGACGAAATCCGGCTTGCTCTTCACGAAGCTGGCTTTCACGAGTGCCAGTCAGTCTGTGGAGAATGACAGAGGCAAGCAATTTAGAGGCAATCGAAATCAGACTGATCCCTCTATGATTGCCACATTTCAAACGGGAGCCTCGTTTGAAAATTGGGACAATGACGGAGCGGTTCCAGTCTGTCGCGATAGTCTCCTGCTCCCAAGGTTACATTAGCAACTCGTGTAAGTCATGTATTAGAGCTTGTCCCTCGAATTCGAAGTGGGCTGGGCGAATTCCATCTGACGCTGGGGCTTTATGCAATTGCGACGGCCTGATCTCACGTTCGAATTCTGCGCGTGAAGGCGGATCCAAGGCGACGGCCCAGGGAGAATGGCGCTCAGTGCCCGAAAAAGAAGTGCCAGATGAATTGGAGCACAGGCGTGTGTCGGTTATCCACGAAAGGCATTCGGTCACACACAGAGTCACATAGAAACGGTGTGATCGCTACCGTGAAGGCAAATTTAATGCGTAGTTCCCAGTTGGTGGTCCATGCAGTGTAACATAGGTACACAGAGTGAATGGAAGTGTAAATCTCCATACTGTTTCCGACTGCACTACCATGGGAAATGCGTCAATGGAACAATGGTTTTATGCGGGTAAAAATGAACTGAAGCTTAACAGGTTCCGCAGGATGATCATCGTGGAAATTCAAAATGTAACAAAATTGTTAGCTGAATTTGGTTTCCATCTGTGAACTCACTAAGGCATGGGTAGTATAAACTCTAAATACAGTGTAAGTCAAGTTCTGTTTGTTAACACACACGTGGATCCGTTTACACCGAGTTTGTGAGGGCAACAGAGCCCAATATTGTCCGTGTACCGTTGTCACTAAGTGAAGAGAAATCAAATCAGGAAATGCAGGTGTTGTAATGTATCGTCGAGTCGCTTTGTTAAAAACGGTTAGTGTGGGCGCGGAAATGACAAAAGTCATAGGAGCGTTCCAGAGGTGACTGATTCGAAGAGAAAAATAGTTCCGGCGGCATTTCAGCTGACTGTATTGCGTAGCCAGTTTCAGCTGGTGACCACACCATTTGGTGTTTCGGCTAAGTTTCAGGAGGTGGTGGCAAGAGTGGTCGGGGCTTTACAAGAAATGGTACACCAGAATGAGATCGCCCCGTAGGTAGCAACAATTTCTGCTGTACAATCCCAAAGTTTTCACTCACAGATGGTATGGCAGGCGGGACAACACCTTCACATTTTCCGTTGCCCTTCGTTGTGCGGTATCCACTGCAATCAGATCGCGTTTTAACTATGGTTGCCAGGCCTGAATCACGAACTCCAGATGGGGCCTCATATATGCACTGAGAATTTGAGGGAAGATGGAGGGATCGATCCACTAGAAAGCCCTCCGTAAAAGACCAACATGCAGGTTAGCAGTTTCGGAAGCCTTCAAAAACCGCGCCGAAAAGTCGAGGTTGTCTTGCATCACCATCACAAGATCGTGCTCTGGTGAGGCGGCATTCAGCATATGATCTCCAAGCTTATATATGTAAGCGGGCTTGTACAGTCTTGTACTTGTCCGCGTTAAACGGAAGTAGATTTGTCTTCCCCCATTCAAAGGCACCGTCTAAGTCTCTGCAGCACATCGCCGTCGTTCTGACAACCGCTCGCCCGCCATACCTTGATCTCATGGGCAGAAAGCAAGAAATTTAACTCGATGACACTCACAAAGTCGCTGATAAAGACCAGGAATAGGCGCGGCCCTAACACCGGTCCCTGTGAGACACCGCAGTCCATATCGATAGGATCAGAAAATGAATTCTTACTCGAACATGATGCTGCCGCTGAAAGAGGAAATTTACGATCCATCCAAGGACCTGGTCCACAATTCCGCATGTATGTAGCTTTTGGAGGAGGATTCGGTGATTTAAGCGGTCGACGGCTTCAGCAAAGTCGAGGTCCCCCTATCGGCTATTTCGGCCCAACTGCTGTGCGCAATCAGAAGATTGGTAGTACATGACCGATGCTGACGGAATCCGTGTCGTTGCTGTGCTATGATGTTAGACCTTTTGAAGTAGCCCATTACAACTCAATCTATGATCGATTCCATCAACTTGGACAGCACCGGGAGGAGAAGCAATGTGCGATAGTTGAGGGGTTCCGAACAGCGACCACCCTTGAAAGTTGGCGTGATGATGCCCTGCTTCCATATTTTGGGGACCTGATGTTCATCCAAGCAACTTTGGAAGATAAGAAAAAAGAGACCACTTGGTGAGCAATTGCTTTCGATGATTCATCTTCAGACCGATACAATCATATATAGGGTTAAAAAAGGGGTAAGATCGACATAGTTGATACAATTAACGTAGGGTAAAAAGATCGAAAACGGGTTAATTAAAAGTTACGGGTTTCTTGACCTTGCGCCATTGATCTCATTATCATCCGCTTTTGCGGGCCAGGGAAGCTGAACAGCCTTAATTAACTTCTGCTGCGAGCATAACGATGGTCGGAATGATCGAATACAAATCGATTCGGCCGTGGCGAGTGTACGGAGACGTTGACCCTTTGACCGGTGCGGCGGAACTCTGTATACTACTCTAAAGTTACGCTCTGGATCCACTTGATGTCCGCTGTCCACAATATGAGCCAAAATAGAGCTACTAATGGCTCCAGTGCCACCTCGACGTAGCCAACGCGGACAGTGTTCGTTTATGCGTTTGGACAGGTGCCGCGCCGTTCGACCGATATACGATGCGCCACAAGCGCATTCAAACTGATAGATAACCATTGAGGCGGTCAGCATCGGCAACTTATCCTTGGTTCGCGAACGAACGAGTGGTTCCGTTGTAAATATGCATTTAAGCTTAGCTGCGGCAAAAGTTGATTTAATCGCACCAGAAAGACTTCGAGTTAAACGTTCTGTAGCCGCGTCCCCTTTGAAAGGCAGGCGTATGAAGAGTTCCTTCTTTGCCACTGTTAACAATGGTACCGGCTTTGGCTTTTCTTCAAGGTTTCTTAAAATAAATCTGTCAGGGTAACCATTTTCGCGTAACACATTCTGTATAAACGTCAACTCCGCGTCTAAGGTGTCTTCAGATCATATTCGACGTGCTCTCGATGTAAGACAACGAATCAAGTTGCGCTTGTATCTCAGGGGGACAAAGCTGTGAAAATTCGAATATGAGATACAATTTGAAAGTTTATACTACCAGACTAACGGGTTAATCGCTAAGTCAAACACTGATTTAGAACGTCTTAAGTGTTTTTTGGTAAATTGCTGCTACCAATATCGCAAACATCGCGTCTATAACCACGGCCCACTAACACGAAAGCACCTAGATGCGTTGAAGGAACTAAAACGTAATAAGGACGTCATCGTGTGTAGACCAGACAAGGGTGCGGGGGTTGTGCTATTAGACAGAAAAGACTACATAAATAAACTGGCAGCTATACTGAACGATGAGACCAAGTTTTCTTGCAGCACAGAAATGGACTGCACGGAACAAATTGAAACTCAGATCACTAAGAGTCTGCAAGAACTTCGGACTAAAGGGTACATTTCGGATGCCCTGTATGACAGCCTCAGACCTAGTGGCACAAACGTTCCAAGGCTCTACGGGTTGCCTAAAATTCACAAAGCAAACATTCCACTCCGTCCCATTTTATCAATGGTTAACTCACCTTACCATACGGTCGCTCAGTGGCTTGTGGAAATACTCGAACCGGTGCGAAAACAGCTTGCAACTTACAGTCTACGCGACAGCTTCCAATTCGTAGAATGTATACGTAATGCTAAACTCGACGGCAAAGTGATGCTCTCCTTCGACGTTGTATCGCTCTTTACCAACGTCCCGCTAATTGAGACAATAGATTATATTTGCGACTATTTAACCCAGTCAGCAATGAAATTATGTGTACCTACGCGTGAGCTAAAAAGTCTACTGTTGCGCTGTACCTGGAATGTGCAATTCCTGTTTGACGGCAAGTACTACCGGCAGAATGATGGCGTAGCCATGGGCTCTCCCTTGGGTCCACTATTGGCGGACATCTTCATGGCAAAGTTGGAAAGAACCGCACTGCAGGCGGATATAGCCACTTTTAGCCACTACTATCGTTACATGGACGATATATTCGTTGTGATGGATGAGGATTTTAACTTAGATGAAATCCTTAACCGTTTTAACCGAGCCCATGCATCAGTACGTTTTACGTACGAAAGGGAAACCGAAAATCAGCTGCCTTATCTCGATGTTCTGTTAACTAGACGGCTAGATGGCTCCATCCAGCGGCAGATCTACAGAAAGGCAACATGGGTTGGTCAATATACGAATTTTCACAGCTTTGTCCCCCTGAGATACAAGCGCAATTTGATTCGTTGTCTTACATCGAGAGCACGTCGAATATGCTCTGAAGACACCTTAGACGCGGAGTTGACGTTTATACAGAATGTGTTACGCGAAAATGGTTACCCTGACAGATTTATTTTAAGAAACCTTGAAGAAAAGCCAAAGCCGGTACCATTGTTAACAGTGGAAAAAAAAGGAACTCTTCATACGCCTGCCTTTCAAAGGGGACGCGGCTACAGAACGTTTAACCCGAAGTCTTTCTGGTGCGATTAAATCAACATTTGCCGCAGCTAAGCTTAAATGCATATTTACAACGGAACCACTCGTTCGTTCACGAACCAAGGATAAGTTGCCGATGCTGACCGCCTCAATGATTATCTATCAGTTTGAATGCGCTTGTGGCGCATCGTATATCGGTCGAACGGCGCGGCACCTATCCAAACGCATAAACGAACACTGTCCGCGTTGGCTACGTCGAGGTGGCACTGGAGCCATTAGTAGCTCTATTTTGGCTCATATTGTGGACAGCGGACATCAAGTGGATCCAGAGCGTAACTTTAGAGTAGTATACAGAGTTCCGCCGCACCGGTCAAAGGGTCAACGTCTCCTTACACTCGCAACGGCCGAATCGATTTGTATTCGATCAATCCGACCATCGTTATGCTCGCAGCAGAAGTTAATTAAGGCTGTTCAGCTTCCCTGGCCCGCAAAAGCGGATGATAATGAGATCAATGGCGCAAGGTCAAGAAACCCGTAACTTTTAATTAACCCGTTTTCGATTTTTACCCTATGTTAATTGTATCAACTATGTCGATCTTACCCTTTTTTAACCCTATATATGATTGTATCGGTCTGAAGATGAATCATCGAAAGCAATTGCTCACCAAGTGGTCTCTTTTTCTTATTTGCACAAATGGGGATTTTCAACTTTGGAAAAATCGAGCTAATAGCTCAGCTATCCTCGTAGCTATCACCTGAAGTAATTTTGGGGGAACGTTGTCAACATCGGGAGAATCATTGGTGTGCAACTATATCCACTTCCTCAAAACGGTCGCTGGACTGAAAGTGACGTGTGTGAATATTGGCGTCTGGGGGAATGGGGCAGGTAAGTGACATATGCTCGTGCTCATTTTGGAGCCGTAAAGCGTTAGCTGCATCCTCGACAGTTTCATCACATTCATTTGCTGAGGTAAGTAAGGGAACACTATGCTTCACATTCTGAAGGCTATTCACATGTCTGTACAGAAGATTGTTATTAGCACAAAACCTTTCTGCTAGGCTTTGCTGATGTACTAGTTTGTCCTCACATCCAAGTATGATATAGTGATTGCGTTGCACTATACAGTATCTCCAGTTGTCAGGGTGAGGGTTCGCCCTGTACACATGCCACTCTGCGTCTCTTACCGTCATAAGTTTTCGAGTTCAGCTCCTAAGGATCGATGGTGCCCTTGCAGAACGAATGGGCCTGTTTACAGATGCTAATGTAATCAGATCGCCGAAGTTGCCAACAAACTCCGTCCATGCAGTATAAATAGAACAATTGTCCGAACAATCCCAAATGACATCTCCAACAAGTTCCGTTAGTATGTCAGTGTGCAGTTGTTCGAAACGAGTCACCATGTTCTTGTGGATAATCCGCGTAACACACATTGTGGTAAAGTATTGTTATGCGATCACTCCGCCCCAGAGGACTCTCCATCCTTGGTTTCTTGATCATGAGCTCTTCGTTCACGATCACTAAATCAAGCACAGCTGGCTTATTTCCCGTGTTGAATCTGGTGGGCAAACTGGCATGGCTAAAGAGCGGAATGCTTGCACTGAGCTCTTGCAGAGCGGCCTTAAACTGCTTGTTGGGGGATGCCGGGACTTCCGACTCGTGAACATTGAAGTCACCGGAGATGAGAACATAGCTGTATCGTCGTCGAAATACTTCCCCTAATACTAAAGTCAGACGGGAGTCCATCACTGGGGTGGACACTGAAAGACGATAAACAACTGTCAAAAGGCAAGGGTCGTTAGCCTTAGTCGCAAACTGCACCAGAGCGAGTAACTGGGCAGCGTTTCCGGATCCTCCACCGGTTCGCAGTGCAGGTCATTACGGTAGTATAAAATTACCCCCGCCCTTGTTAGGGCGATCGTTTCGAATAAGGGACATGTCATGTTTCACGACTTCGGCGTCGGTAATTTCTGAACGCAGCCAAGTTGCAGTTAGGAATATGAGTTCGCAGGCGTTCGATGATTGATGTAGCCGCAGTTCGGCAAGCTTGCTCAGAAAACCTTGTGCATAGGTTTGCATCTAGGAAAGTTCCTCAGTTTTTAGCAATGAATCGTGGGATGGATGTTTTTGATAAAATGTTGTGCCGACCGGTAAAAAGACGGCCACTAATCCACATTTTGGTGGGGCGATGAGGAACTTATCTGTGTCAGATTCAGGGATCCTGCCATTAGCTGTACGGCCCTCACATTTTATGTAGACAAGATAAAGCACAGGTGCTGACCGAGTGAAACGGAGTCAGGAGTGGTGGTTGATGAACTAAAACAGTAGGGCGAAAAAGTTGGTGGAATTGCTTGTGCCAACGCTTTATGGTCGAAGTAGCGCACAGCCTGCTTTACCGTGGTCCCCATGTCCAATTATGCTCCCAAGTAGGCGAGTTAATTCACCTACTTAAGCCGACTTCCATCTGTTTTAGGTTTACCGAATTAGTCGATAAAATAGTACTCAAAGAGTACTAATATGGCAGTGGCTTTGTTGTCTCTTATAGGCACAGCTCCATCGCTTAGTCCATGTTTGAAAGTTTATAAATGGAAGGGAACTTTTGCTGAAACAAATGATGAGACAGTTTCCGGTGTTATACTTACTACAGTTTGGTAACCAGCCTGAAACCGCACGTCTGCAAAAACACAACCACAAAAGAGTCTCATTCTCGAACATCGTGCCACACTTGCTAGTAGCGGCATAGTAATGGTATTGAGTCAACTTAACCAACACCTCCGAATGGCTGCAATTACTATGTGAGGTGGAAACACATTGAAGCCAGAGTGACTTTGAGCTTAGAATCACGCACTCTCCAATACATGTTCTACTCGCAACAGAGGTCCCCTGAACTGGACTCATACTCAGAACTACTTGCGTCCCAGTAGTAGCCAACTTATTATGGATGATGGACTCGACCTCACGATAGGTACGGTAGCCTCCGTTTAGCTCATGCGGAGCGTCATTTCGATTTCACCTAAAATAATCCATCACATCGAATCACCAGGAATGCGCGCCGTCGGACTATAGCGCTAATGCAGGCGACCAGCGTGAATGATTAAGACGGCAGTATCCCGGTTGCTTGGCAACCCCTGACATTCATCTTCAGATTCCGTGAGTCAGAGGACGTCGTTGCGCTTCTGTCATACTGATAGGGATAACACGTCAGACCTGCTCGAGCGATACCGTTGTCGCTTGCTCTCCACGCAACGAGCGCAGTTACGTGTAGCATCCGACCGTGTACTTCCTGTAGCTTACCGGCCATGGCGCCACATCGGTGTACGTTTCAGAATCGATAGTAACGCTAAAACAGGCATATTAAACTGGCTACCCGCCGATCGCATGCATTTATTTACAAATACGCCTGAGAACTAAACACAGTAATGGCTATGTTCATAAGGAAGGAATCTCTGGACGAATTATTCCAAGCGAGACCCAAACATGGTTACACAACCACGTTTCCAAATATTGGTATTCGCCTTAAGCATTCACTAACATGCTACTACGTGAAGCTTATGTTACACCGTATCAACTTTGCATTGCACTCATGCAAGAAGATGGTTAAATTTGTGCGCATTGATCCGGGCTTTTATAGACACTATTTCTCGGGTTACGGGAAATTTAGGATATATATATATATATATATATATATATATATATATATATATACGTGTGGCCACATGTAGAATACGCAACCCAGACGTGGCAGCCCTGGCACAAGCAAGACCTTGTGGCGCTCGAGACTCCAAGGCGACGAGTCAGGAAGCACGTCAAAGGGTTGTTCAATCTTCCTTATCAACTTTGACTGAAGATGCTGAAATTATATAGCAGCCCGTACCGGCGCCTACGTGGCGACCTTATTATGGCGTACCAGATCCTAAGGAACCCCAACCAAGTCTAACGCCACCTATGACAACTGAGATGAAACACGAATTTGAGCGGCCACCAGTTCAAGTTAGCCACACGATACAATGGAACAATGGTTTATTACGGGTAAAAAAGCGTTGCTTAACAAGTCCCGTAGGATGGCAATTATTGTGAAAATCAGTTGCATAATAAAGTGAAAAGCGTTGTGGTGGACTCACCATAGACTTATGCAGAATAGCGGAGATGTTCGCGTATTAAACATAAAAATCCATAAATCCATTGGTTAGGCGTTTGGCAAGACACCGTTTGATTGCGTTTTGTAGACTCTGGCTAACAAGTCATAAAATGAAATGTAAGTGAGACAATGCAGCGTCAACACTTT